CAGCATAGATGAGGGGGGAAACGCCTGGAAACGCGCACAGCGGTAACAGGCAGTCACACTGTGATCGCGTGTGACCACAAGCCAAATCCGGTATGAGTTTGCGCGGAACAAACAGTTCGCGAGACGCGCGTTTTCCGGGTTGGAATGCAAATGACTGTAACGTCCTTGCATCCACGATACAGCACAGCACCCTCATTATTGGAACATGCACTGAACGCGGTCTCCCTGGCCTTTTTCTTAGAAAACTGTGTCATATGTTGGCCTGTATGCTTATACACGCGTTGCACCAACCCGCAAGAACCTTTAGCGGGAACAAATGAGCAACCATACCCTGTTGCATTACAGCGCTTTGCAAGTGAATGCGGAAGGTGGAGAGATGGCAGTGCAAACTGGGGCCGGTTCAGGACCCTTGGCACGAGGCGGGCGAACGATGCGGAGTTCTGCCTGAGTTGCTGTAGTGTTGCCGCAAGGTAAGGTGAAGGTGAGCTTAAGGTCCAGATTTGGGTACAATAAGCAGCTTAAGCTGACCTCAAGCTAACCTTGGGACCTCTTGAGACGAGTCAAGGTCGCATCAAGGTGTTGACCTAATTAGGGAGAACCCTTGGTTATCGGCGTGGACACCTCTGAGTAAGCAGGCATAGTCCCCATTGGGGTTTAGTGGGGCTTAGCTATTGATATTCATGCGCCACAAACGGCGCCAACACGACTTCATAGTCTAGCGGGTAACATCGCTACCCATTTTGACCCTTGACGCGTTCGATTCCCCCTGGTACCAGCAAGTTCTAACAACGTCTGCATAAAAATAAAGCAGCGAATCTTCTCTACGAGCCTCCTCCTAATACAGAAATTATTTTTTGACCTACGAAGCATAGTGAATTAACGGTCCCTGCATGCAGTACTTGATACATTAGTGACAGCGATGAACAGTTCATGATCATAGGGGGTTTGCCCAAGAGAGGAAGGCACTGATGCGGCAACACCCGGACATTGCCTGGATCACCTCAAGGTCATCTCAAGGTTCCGCATTTGGTCGGCAACACTAAGTTGCTGTGCTCGCGTGGCCGAATTTGGCAGGTAGTACTCGGGGTCCTTACTCGGCTGTCTCGGCGGGGCCATTTCGCGTCAGAGGCTTTTCCGCATCTTTGTGCAAACCGCTGTAAGGGTGTCATGTTGCATCGGGGTTGCAAGGGTGGTATGAAGAAAGCATGTCGCCGTCCAAGTCGCCTTCTTCAGGTTCCGAGATCGGCTGACGGTGAAGAATAAGTGAGCTGCACGCTCGCTCGGATATGAAATGGTATGTCTTCCGGACCTTGACGCCCTTCGCGACAATGACTTGTTGCTCCAATACTATGCCGGAAGCCGCAACGAAATGAAGACAGATTTTTGTTCCCCCCCTCTCGCTTCAGACGTTCAACAAGCCCTGTTCTTGTTTGTCAGACATAATATATCCTCTTCTGCAACCATATATGAAGCCTTGAGCTGTAACTTATCTATACAACTTTGCCACGACGATGCTGCGCGAGTCACGGTCAACTAGTGTTGCCGCGACTCGGCTCGGCTCGAAGCTGAATCGCTCCCTAGTAAAAATAACGATTGAATTTTGTGGCGTAAGGTTTATGTTTCGAAGCGGTGACTGGCAGCGACGATGGCAACCATGACATGACAATTACCTCACTAAGTATTTTGTTGCCTTTGTCGTAAGTCCACCCAATCGGCTTGAGCCAGCTCCCGAGCCGCGGCAACACTACGGTCAACCTTTGTTTCCCTGCTTCGGGTTTGCAATGAACATCACTGGTGTAGAACATCTCGGTTTCCCTCAAAATCTTGATATGCATCATCTACTATGGCATGGAATATGAAGACAATCAAGTCTGGTAGCAAACGGAATACAGGAAGGTACCTACCCCGAGCAGTTCTATGATAAGGAAGGCCAAATTCTCGATTGTTTTGTACCTAGCGTCTGTAATTTTCATTTCCCCACCATGCCGTGTGATACAGTCATAGAGTAGTTACATTAGATGGCCTGTGTTCAGTTTGTAGATAGACACCGAGGGACAGTCGAATCTAACTGCATTTCATTGCGGGTCCCGGCGTAGTAACAAGTTTCAAGGTCAGTCGTCTGATGGATGGGCAACTCTTGTTCGGCTAAACTTCTCCCGTTTACCAAATGACGGCCTAATTTGAGGGGCAATTGGCGGATGGGAAAATCTGAGCCGCGACCTTTATTGCCAGTGTTGACTGGTCGCTGACCTTAGACCTTGTGACAAATAAGGTAATCCAACCGGGTTGGCGGATCATCTGACGAGCTGGGTTAGACCCTAATCGGGTAACGAGCCTCGGGCTCTCGCGTAGCGAAGACTGGGACAAAATGTCGAGGCCCTGGCAGGCGACCGACGGAGTGTGAAAGTTGGCGGATGGGAAAGAATTTGTAAGGACTTCGCGAAGCCGGCATTGTGGTGCCGAGGCGATCGACGCCCGTAATCTTATCTTAGCCTCAGGGGTATTCGATGCGTCCACCGACGCGTCGTAGATAGTCGAATATAATCGCGTTTTTATGCTCTCCCTCCCCGCATGAAGCACTCGAATGGCGACGTACTACGGCTATGGCCATACCTACGCTCAGGCGACTGCTCGTCCGCTCATCTGGGACTACAACTGGCTAGGGACTCTTACTATGGAACAGAGGAAGAACGAACTCTTGCATGCTGTCTCGGAGGCTGGGGTCAAGGCAATCGATCTCATCTACGCTGAGGAATCGTTTGCTCTGGAGGAGAACAAGATCTCCATTGCTATGGATATTCTCGTCAAGAAGGCCTCTCTGTCAGCCACAGACTGAGGAGATTACCGATGTTTTTGCTGAACGAATGAACTCGCATGATGAGCGAGGCGAGGCGGGGTATGTGCCCTTTAAACCGAAAGAACTGCTCGGGTGCAGCCAGTATATTCTGGTATACACCTCGAGCGATGTCCAGGATAAAATAGAGTAAAGATTAGTAGATACATGCACGGGATGTACACAGGTTCCAAAGTTTCAAGTTCTTGTCATCGGGTGTAACCTCGTTGATTTGGACGGTGCGAATACCGTAGCTATTAAATTCCTCGACCTTTGCGGTTGTTAGGTGAGCGTTTATAATAAGAATAGAGCTCACATGGTTCTGTTGAAGAAGTTTGAGCGGTGAGACTGTAATCACGATTTTTCGAGTAGGTGCAAAGATAAGTGAAAGTATCATGGCTAAAGTCTTGCCATAGCCTGTTCCTGCGCGGACAATAACATGCTCTCCTGCTATGTTTCGGATAGCAGCTTCAATTTAAAAGTGCCGTAGCATTTCGCTCGCCTGAGAATCGAGCGTCGCACCATGTTGTCATTGCAAAAACCGTCTCGACCTGCTCGAATGTAAGATTGTCGAGGAAGGATCGGGGGAGCTTCTTGAGCGAATCGCACACGTTATTGGACAGGGCCCCGGGTATATCGTTGATGTAATGTTCATTCATAATTTAAAGGAGTGGAGTAAGGGATAAGGACATAAGTACATGGGCTCGACGCGTTCATGAGGCGGGGAGCGCGTTCAGACGCGTCGTATCTAATCTACAGGGGCTGAGTTTCCCTATTCGGACGGTGATCTCTCTCGGGCCGAGCCAAAATTCAAACTCCGTCGGTCGCCTGCCAGCGAGTCGACATTTTATCCCAGTCTCCCTGACACTGCAAGCAATTCTTAATAATAGTGGCATTATTACTTGAAAAGTATTCTAAATATTAAGGTGAATGGGTTTCAATAATTAGTTCCTCGTTATTTAAAAGCTTTATCAAAGACAAGGGTCAGCGACAGAGCGGCTTCCTTTCCTGTCTTTGATAAAAGATAAAATAATGAGGACCTAATTATTGAAACCCGTTCACCTTAACATTTAAAATAATTTTCAAGTAATAGCGCCACTATTATCGAGAAATGCTTGCAGTGTGACGCGAGAGCCTGTGGCTCGTTGCCTTATTAGGCCGCATAAGGTGAGGCTGTGTTACGAGTCTAGAGCTGGGTTAGACTCGTAACCAGTCTCCCAGGCAGGTGCCTAATAAGGCAACGAACCAAGCGGTTCTCCCGTCAGCCTGTGGCTCGTTGCCTTATTAGGCCGCATAAGAAGAGACAGGTCACGAGTCTAGAGCTGGGTTCTGCGCCAGGCTGTGGGAGGGCCCGGGTTGGCAGTGAAATTACGGGATAACGGCCATGACCGATATCCAGTCAAGTGTGACCATATCCACCATAAATACGACACACATAGACGTTGGGTCAAAATTGGCCCATATATGATATGGTTCACCATTGGTCCATCGTTTAATAAGGTTATACAGTCTGCTGCGGGTGACACATGTATTGTAGTTTATAATTTGACGCGAACAAAGATCGAGGTCAGGGAGTGTCCCACGTGTCACTGTGGATGAATATTTTCAGAGTGAGAACATCAAAATATCCGTAAATGGCATATCAGAGGGAAAGACGCGTTTACCTGAAGATCCTGAATATTGGTGAGCGAATGCCATAAGTGAATAAGATCATCTTCGGAGGCTGCTTCCGACATATTCCCTTCCTTCTTAGTAGGCAGAAGAATCTGTAGGCATGAAACTTAACCTGGGTAACGAGGAACTGATTGATTGGCTTACCTGAGAGTGTGGCACAGCTTCTGCTACCGCTCTGGGCCTGACATTAAGGCGATATCCTTTTTCTTCCCTGGTCTCAAGCGACGCAATGGTTACCAGCGACCCGTCAACCTCGTCGACGCCGGCTTGGATAGTATTATCATCAGGAGGTAAACCGATGGTGACAGCGATAGTCTTCCTAGCTTTCCTGCCTTGCTTCTTCTGTTTCGGCGTCACCGTCGTGGTCGCTCTCTTCCGCTTGGTTGACTTCTTCGTGACCCCACCACCGGTAGCGGATTTGATGTCATGCCACAACTCTGACATGATGGTAGTGGTCGTTGAAAGGGGACAAGAATCGGGTCCCGAACGTCCAAGCAAAATTTATGTAACGTTGGCGCTTGCCATATTGGGTCACGGTTTGTTCCGACTCTGTAAATGCCGTCCTTGCACCCCTGATGCAACATGCACTGAATGCGCTATCCCTGGCCTTTTTCTTAGAAAACGGTATCATATATTGGCCTGTGGGCTTGTATACATGTGTCCCACCAGCCCACAAGAAACTGTAGCGTGAACAAATGAGCAATCCCAACCTATTGCATTGAGGGTGCTGTGGTGCATCAGGGGTGTGGATGATTTGCCCAAAATCGCTCGTTCCCACTTTCAACTCCATCAACCACCATGTGACTCACGATTCACAATTCAACCTAAATTCGACTGCTCTGATAACGACAAGATGTCGGGATTTGCCGTCCACCTTGTGCCTGGCCTTGGAGAAATTACATACTGACACACGGTGATATACAAGCCGTGAGGCATGAAATCCTGCGTGTGTGCCAAACTTACTATCAGTCGTGCTTAACCCGCAACCACCATGGACACCTTCGAGCAGCTCCTGGGTGAGGTCGACCCCAGTGTCTAAGTCGGTGAAGTACCAGACTTACCCCCTCACGCGTTCTCCCCCGCCCCTGTAGACGAGGTGTTTACGGACATATATAGAATGCTCATCAACAGCTCGCCCCCGCCGGACGCCACCCCAATTGACACAGATCCCGCCAGCAAAGTGATCGAGGGTACCCTCGATCACACTATGGCACCACCCTCACCGAACGTTCCAGCACGCGTAGAACCCATCGCGGCGCCGCCTCCTGTACATACACAAATGCAGCAGTCGGGCCCGAGTCTGCGTCCCAGACCCGCTTCCGAGGCCCCCACTGGAGCAAAACGGCAAGGCAGAGGAGGCGGTACCTATTGGTGGATGGATTGAGGTAGCGTTAGCCTTGAGATGGTCGCACTTCCGGCTGACGTCAAATGATCCGAGCTGCCTTCGAGGTGACCTCGAGTCACCTGAGGCCTATGCGTACCAAGTCCTTGCATGGCCCCATTGTATACCAGGGGGGCACGTCATAGTGGTGGATTGAGAACAAGCTGAGAGGCAAGCAACAAGCTCGCACGTCAAATTAGTTTTCCCCGTTACGTTTTAAGGGTCCTGAGCGGCATCCGGTTATGGCAGTTGCCCCGACACGCGCATTTTTCACGCCAGGTACCGCGAACATGAGATCGAGATTCTACAGCGTTGGTCCCACACTTGAGCTTGAGCATGAGTGGGTCAGTAGTGGATCCCAGGCGCCTGGGCTGAGCCGAGGCGGCCTCAGATCGCTCGCCTGCTCTCGCCTTTGCCCTTGCCCTTTCACTCGCCCTCGCCCTTGACCACAACGACCAATGGACTAGCACCAAAAACAATCTAAGCTGTTTACGGAGGGAATATTACTAGAAAAAGGCGTAAAGATGGTCAACTTTTTCAACGACTTTCCGCACTGGGGATATTCATGGAAAAAATACTCATTGGAGAAGGTAAACTTTTCAGCCGCAACTTCCCATTTCGGGCATAGTGAGCAGACGGACTTACCATTTCTGGCTGGCAAGGTTCAGACCCGGTCCCAAATTAGGTAATTTACACCTGAAAAGTATTCCTTTTTCAATAAATATCCCCAGTGCGAAAAGTCATCGCAAAAGTTTACGTTCTTCAAGCTTTTCCTAGCAATCTATGCCCTTGGTAAAATGCGTAGATTGTCTGCGGTGTAGGGAGGTCGACCGTCGGACCGAGCCTCGAGGAAGGCACGATGCAGTAGTTTAGGGTCGGCATGGCCAGCGTAGTCAGTATTTAGTGTGTTCGCGCGTGCCCATAGTCACTTATCCCAGCGATACGAGGAGTCTCGTCGTCATCTTCTCCAGGAGTACCCACTCCACCGAGCGACGCGCTCAACGAGCCAGCATGCGTCGCCGATGTCGACGTTGTAGACAGCCCACAAACGCCACCTCGATGAGGACGCCCAGCACCCATAAGGATCGCGCTGTCGGAGGTACTATGCCTGTGCCCCCGATGAAACAACGCGCCCGTCGTGAAACATGCATGTACATCGAGTATCTTGAACACGTCTCTCAACCATTACCTCCCATATTTCGTTCGTGGGCTGTGCTAGGTCTATTTGATACCATAGTCGAAGCTCAGAAGCTAGATCCTAACATCGAGTAAATACGGCTCGAAAGACTTTCGTGTGTTCTCCCATTCAATGCTTATCCGCTCAGAGCACCAGGGTAAATGTTGCCCAATTACTTTGAGCTCCCGGTGACGCCATGGCTGGTACCCAAAGAGCACTGTGCACTCATTGTGCACACTTATGTTTAGATAAATGTAACATATAAACGTTGGAATGTTGTACATGGAAGATAGGGGGTTTAGCGTGGTGGAAGCCGGCATCTCGCTGGTATCTCTCCGAGACAACGGGCAAGTCTTTTGCTTTGTCTCATGCTACGGAAGACACTGAGATATATGAGTATCAAGTTTTTGAAGGTCATTGTAGGAGTATCCGGTCAAGGGACTGCGTGCAACTCGAGGATGTTTCACGACGGGCGCGTTGTTTCATCGGGGGCATAGGCATACTACGGCAGCGCAGGCCCGTACGGCCTTCCCTCGGCTCAACAAGCGACGCGCCAAGCCCGCGGTCTGACGCACGGAGGCGCAAGCTCCTCCCTGCATGCATCGTTGGGTGCGCAAAGCGTGATGCAAGACCCGAGGAAAGACTCACTCATTGGGCGCGTTGGGCGCGTTGTTGGGAGGATGCCAAGGGCTTTGGGGGGGGGGGGGGGGATCGGGTGAGCCGGGTGAGTGGTACTGTGATCCCACGTCAGGATACACGGCCAGATTTATGAAAGGCCTGCAATCGCGCTCAATTAAGGTTTGGAAGCTCTCCAGCACATAAACACTCATGTAAAAAATACATGAAGTGTCAAAGTTGCGGGATCCTTCTTGATTTAAGAATCGGTGATTTTGGGCGTTGTCGGGGACCCACGTCTCATGGATACTGAACGCAGCATCTACGGTCGAATGATACAATGCCGCACATGCCATTGTTTCTCTGGCGACTTCTACGCGGAATTCGTCCCATCCGAACAAACGGCCTGCCCATGCGGCGCACGCATACAATCCCGCCAACACATCATCTGCGAGTGCCCCCGCTACGCGACCGCACGCCGGCATCTCTGCAAACCGAACGAGGACGTGTCCCTCACCGACGTCCTCGGCACCAAGAAGGGCCTTCAAGCCCTGACCCTATTCCTTCGCGACTCCGACGCCTTCAAGAAGTCGTCAACGGAGGCGCCCCCCACCGAAACCGATGACCCAAGAGCGTCACAATAGACACCCAGACGACCCAGGGGACCCGCCGTCGGATACCCCCCATGTCTCCTTTTCTCCTCATCTCGCGCATCGCGCACGTCCATGGCTTACCAAACATATAGTCCGCACCGTACCACGACACACCCGTACACCCCCACTGGGTTTTATTACCAGATGATCATGCCACTGCAGACGAACTCTACTTATCTACCACTTACTCCTCTATTACACCGACTAGATTACCACCGGCATGGTCCACCGCCACCGGAAGCATTACAAGCTGTGCCTTAGACTCGTGACCAGTCTCATCTTGTGCGTACCCAAAAGGGTAACAGGCCTGAGGGCCTAAAACCCGTCCGATAAGGTGCAAGATAGCCCGGCTGAGTCTTAGCTTGTAGAATCATAATTAGAACATCTGTTGTCGATTTTCCCGCCCTCGAGAACAGCTCCAGCCCGGCCTTAATGCAAGACTCCTCCAGAGAGCAGCTAGGATCGCGCTGCGAGATATGTAGCTCGAGTGCTGTTGTATTCGCGTCGACCAGAGCATCAGACAGCCCCCTTAGTCGAATATCCTCAGAGAGCCAAGCTGGAGATACAGTCCATTGGAGTGGTCGAAAGAGCGGTGGTGGAGGCGGTGGAGGCGGCTGATAATACACAGGATGAGGACACGGCAACATGTCGTATGTTCACGCAGGAGGGAGAGGGCACAAAATCATTATATTCATAGCATGGCACGTACATAGCGTGACGCGACGCGACGCTACAAGTGCACGATCGGCCGCGATGATGCCGGCTTATCTAACCGATCTCCGCCGTCCTTCGATGCTTCTCGCCCGCCAAGTTTTGGACTCCGCTGGTCCCCTGCCAGGGAGTGCTCCAAATCTCCCAGTCTCCCAGATACGAAGGCCCCTTGGCCTGTTACCCTTTTGGGTACGCATCTCGGGAGACTGGTCACGAGTCTAGCTGTGCCTTCTGACGTCCCCGAGAGAGAGAGAGAAAATCTATATTTATATCCCGCGGAAAACGCGTTTAGGGTACGTTAAGAGGCGGCTAAGTGCTACTTAAATTGGGAAGGAAGGCAGCTTGGGCGAGTCCCAAAAAGGGAATACGGGTTCATTAAATCGCGTGTCGCTAACAGCGTTACGGTGGCTACTGGCACCGCAGACAATCTAGGCTGGTTGCCTAGGGAATATTATTAGAAAAAGGGACGAAGATGCTAAACTATTTATATCACTTTTCAGGGCCGGAAAAGGCATTGAATGAGTAAACTTCTCAAACAATATCCAAACGGGGATATTTTATGGATCTTTTTTCCTTTTCTGGCGCGGATAAGATACATTTTCCCATGACTTTTCCGGGCTTGGAAAGCCAGTGAAAAAGGTACAGTATATGCGCGAAAGAAGATATCAAACATCTAGAGACAATGGGTTCGGCAGCGGATAGGCCCAACGGAGGTTTTACGAACAGGAGATGGAACAATAACGGAGAAACGGGAGCCGGACCGAAGCGGTAACCGGACCGGGAAGAACGTAGCTTAGGCAAAACTTCTTCGTTATACCTGTATCCCTCCGGATCCAGGAATTGTCAATTATTATTTTCTAGGATTCTTATGATTATGGTTTTAATAGCTAGGACTAACAATTGCGAGGGTGCCTGTGTTGAGTTCGTGAGTCTGTCATCGTGTCCACGTAATCGGCCGACGCCGAGATAAGATAATAAGACACGAGATGGGCGGATAGACCACCGGACGAGTCAGAAGCCCTGGGCCAAGGCTCGGGGAAACAGAAGCTATTTATTAGAGAATCAGAAGCTAAATATGAGTACAGGAGCTACAAAAGCACTCCTAATGTATTTACTAGTATAAAAGAAGCGAGAAATCATACCTGAGCGTTATCAGCGTATCACACACCCTTATCAAGCGTGAATCCCAAGAGCCTGCACATCAGAGGGTAGGGTAAAGGAAGGTTGCGACCAAGTTGCGACGAAATAGGAGCGATGTGGCTGTGCATACATCCATATATATAGGGAGTGTCTGTGCATCGGGCCGACTTGCCGAGTATCACCTGGGATCATGTGATGCGACAAATCTCGTGGAAAGTGCTGCTTAAACACTTTACGAAAGTAAAGAAAAATAACTTAATGACTTTTTTTCCATGATGGATACTGCCAAACGGAAACCTAGCAACTGATCTAGTCTCCCGTAGGCAGCCCAATACTTGGTACAAGGAAGATAGTCGTTCCTTGATGTACAACTGATCTACATGACCATAGGGACCCTTTCTAGGTCTTGCAAAGTACCCGAGTGTCCGTCGTCGCTGCCTATTACGACGACGAGGTCGGGTGCGCGGCTGCTTACATAAAGGTGCTGGATTCCCACGCTCTCTACCTTAGAAGCCGACTTCTCTCGGGGGCAGGAGCAAGAGTGTGAGCGGGCGGGCGTGCTGAGTCCCGCCTCGGCTCGGCCCCGGCACCCGGGATCCGCTCGCGCGCAACAGGGGAGAGGTCACGCGTGACGGTCGTGACGCGAACCGTCGTCCTGCGCGGGTGAAATTTTGAAACCCCACTTCTGCAGTGACTGTCACTCGCAATGGTCCAGATACGCCCGATAAGGCAACTTGAGATTTAAGTGAGTCATACGCCCCAATAAGAACAGCATCTATAATAGGATACCAGGCCATACCAGATTGTCGCCAATATACCCGCATGTATCCAATTTGTAGATAGTCGATACTGAGGAATATGAATATATTTTTGTTCGACGCGTGGGCCTCGACCGTGTATACATCCTTTATATCTCTCCATAGTTAGCAACTCGCAGAGGGCATACGCACAAATACGAGTGCACTCGCACAGCGGCCACTATGCTAGGTACGCGTGCTCGTGTCTTAGTGCATTGCAGACGCACTCGCAGACGCCGCGTAGCATGTCTCCCGACATGGCTAGGCCATCGCGCTGAGAAGCGCGTGGGAAAACGCACTCGATCAAATGGACGTCCTCGACCTCGACGCGTCTCTCTTTCCCTTGTCTCTCTTTGTCTCTCCCTCTCGTCTGCATATACCCAAGTCCGTTCCCCCATCCCCTCTTTTCTGTGTTCTCCTCCCGCTCCTACTCCCACACCCACTGTTGTGCCAGAAGCGGTGAGCACGAGGTCTGTTCGGACCGGCAAGATGGCAAGCTACTGAAGGCTGCGCTCTGGCAAGTAAGTCGCCGGTTCACTGGTTGTTGCTCTGATACTGACGCACATATCGAGGACATTGGCGCAGCATCTCTACATCAAAAACAAGGGCCAAGCCACTGTTGAGGTCTTCAACCAATGGTGTGAGTCTCTGGGCGAGATCGGGTAAGAGGTACGTATTTTAATTGTCATCTCCATCAACATGTTCTAATAAGTAGATATACTTACAATAGCAAAACTGAGAAAGAGCTCGTAAGTCTATATACTCGGTTTCTGAACCCGCTGACTACACCTCCAGATCTCCGACAAAATCTCGGTCAATAACACCATCCATCGTCGCCAGCTCGTTGTTCCATGACGCGTAAACGGTGCAGAGGAGGCGAGGCGAGAAGGCGAGAACAAGGACTAGGAGGAGATCCGGACGCATAGACAGCATGTAAAACGGTGTAGCATATGATATGTGAATGCATATTTCAGTATACTGCAGTACACCCCAAGCGAGAATCATTCAAAATGAATATATTCATATTCCAACATATGGTGCTATATTAACTCATATACTCAGTAGATCACAGTACACCGCAGTATATTTCAGCTACTATTTGTCTCATTTTAATACTGACAGCTACTCTGGCATACTTTTTAAGTGGGCTACCTGTTTTGTACATTCTGGTATGGTCCGGTAGCCTACACTAGAGGCCGTTCTTAGTGGGCATACGCTCTGGGAGCGTAGACTCGTAACCAGTCTCCCATGCGCGTGCCTAATAAGGCAACGAACCAAGCGGTTCTCGCGACAGGGAGACTGGGATAAAATGTCGACTCGCTGGCAGGTAGTGTTGCCGCAGTTCGTATAACCGAGACCAGTCCCATAAGGACCGGTTTTTTTGGCAAACATGGTTCGGTTTCAGGGACCAAACCATTTGTTGGGGTTTCAGAGGGTTAGTTCTCGGTTTGGAACCCCTGGGAGCCAAGACGCCATGGAAACCTTTTAGCTTTGATTTCGCTTATCATTTTATTGACGTAATTGTAGTCAACCCTCGGCCTTCTCCGCTGACCCGGGCAGCCCACTGCTGCATCTTTGGGTCTGCGGGTCAGCTATGTCATGTTCAAGATGCATCTTCAAGGATACCCCAGACAAAACAGTGTCAGATAGTACTATTGATGCTGAATTACGCAGGTTCTGTTAATACAAGGACTGTTAAAGGCGAGTTTCTCTTGTAAGCAGCACTTTTGCACCCGATGCACATTCATTGTGCTCGGGACCACAGTCGTGATATTAGTATACTTCTACTACAAATTCATTATAAATTTTGTTGTCCTTGTTACGGGGTTCGGACTGGTCTACGAACCGAAACTAGGTTCGGGGAACTGCCTGTCCCTGGAAACCAACTCGGACGGAACCGAGGGCATTCTTGGTTCGGTTCACGGTTCCAAACCGTTAGCCACCCGAACCGCGGCAACACTACTGGCAGGCGACCGACGGAGTTCGAAAGTTGGCAGATGGGAACGGATTGGTAAGGGCTTCGCAAAGCTGGCATCGTGGTGCCGACGCGATCGCCTGCGGTAATCTAATCTTAGGTCAAGGGTATTCGACACGTCCACAGACGCGTCCTAGGTAGTAGCTCAATTGTGTCACCATCAATTTCTTGTGCTCCCCCTCCCTGCATGAATCACTCGGATAGCGCCGTACTGGGGCTATGGTCTCCCCTACGCTCAGGCGACTGCTCGAATGCTCAACTAGGACTTGCATCAGCTAGGGACTCTTACTATAAAACCAAGAATGAATGAATTCCTGCATGCTGTCTCGGAGGCTAGGCCCAAAGCGATTGATCTTGTCTATAAAGAG